CACTGTGGTCTCCAGCATTTGTTGATGTAGAGGTGCTGGTGTTGGACTGGGATGGACAAAGTCAGAAAGTCGCACAACACCAGGTTATAGTCCAACAGTCCCCCTGAAGGGGCTGTGCTCCGAGAGCTTGTGTTTTCAAATAAACCTGTTGGACTATAACCTGGTGTCATGTGAATTCTGACTTTGTCCAGCATTTGTTGTTTTCTGATACCTCCATCTGTGACTCGGAGTAAAGTCTGGTTCGATAACAATTCTGCGAAACCTCTTGGGATTTTATTTTTGTTTGTAAATACAAGTGTTGGTTTAACTAGTCTTGAATTTTCCCTCCTAAGGCTGTTCTGTTTATCTGCTAGCCAGAAAATCCACACCCTGGCCCTCAATCTCCTTTCCCTTCCTGGCTGGTTGCTCAAGCTAGACCTAAAGAGGGCGGGGCATCATTATGTGCTTAACAGGTTCTGTATCTTCAGATCTGTCTGTCGAGATTGAGACTAATCACTTCCTACCGAATTCAGAAACAAATGATAGAGAATGCTGAAAATGCGCAAAAATGTCAGGCAGTCTCCACAGGTGAATATTCTAATGAAAGACTGTCGCCTTGAAACATTAACACCATTTTTCTCCCCACTTGCTGCCAGATCTGATGCGTATTTTCTGTTTTTATTTCAAATTTTCAGCATCTGATTTGATTTCACTTTTGCTTCTCTCTCTCATTCTGTGTCCCCATGTTCTCCGGTGGACTTTTCTTCTTGGTAAAAACAAACTTTTAAGTCCCAAACTTTCCAGTGTCAGATTTCACAAGCTTCAAAATCTCCCCTCCCCCTACCGCATCCCAAAACCAGCCCAACTCGTCCCTGCCTCCCTAACCTGTTCTTCCTCCCACCTATCCCCTCCTCCCACCTCAAGCCGCACCCCCATTTCCTACCTACTAACCTCATGAGATAACAAGATGTAGAGCTGGATGAACACAGCAGGCCAAGCAGCATCATAGGAGCAGGAAGGCTGACATTTCGGGCCTAGACCCTTCAACAGAAATGGGGGAGGGGAAGGGGGTTCAGAAATAAATAGGGAGAGAGGGGGAGGCGGATAGAAGATGGATAGAGGAGAAGATAGGTGGAGAGGAAACAGACAGGTCAGAGAGGCGGGGATGGAGCCAGTAAAGGTCGGTGGGGAGTTAGGGAGGAGATAGGTCAGTCCAGGGAGGACGGACAGGTCAAGGGGGCGGGATGAGGTTAGTAGGTAGGAGATGGGGGTGGGGCTTGAGGTGGGAGAAGGGGATAGGAGGAACCCCTCCCCCTACCGCATCCCAAAACCAGCCCAGCTCGTCCCCGCCTCCCTAACCTGTTCTTCCTCCCACCTATCCCCTCCTCCGACCTCAAGCCGCACCCCCATCTCCTACCTACTAACCTCATCCCGCCCCCTTGACCTGTCCGTCTTCCCTGGACTGACCTATCTCCTCCCTACTTCCCCACCTACACTCACCTTTACTGGCTCCATCCCTGCCTCTTTGACCTGTCTGTCTCCTCTCCACCTATCTTCTCCTCTATCCATCTTCTATCCGCCTCCCCCTCTCTCCCTATTTATTTCTGAACGCCCTTCCCCTCCACCATTTCTGAAGAAGGGTCTAGGCCCGAAACATCATCCTTCCTGCTCCTATGATGCTGCTTGGCCTGCTGTGTTCATCCAGCTCTACTCCTTGTTATCGCAGATTCTCCAGCATCTGCAGTTCCTACTATCTCTACTAACCTCATGAGATGTGCCAACAGGGTAGACGTGGAGAGGATGATTCCTGTTTTGGAAAATCGAGAACGAGGGGTCACTATTTAAAAATAACATGTTGCCCATTTAAAACAGATGAGGCACTTTTCTTTCCCTGAGCATCCCGAGTCTTTGCAACTCTCTTCCTGAGAAGGTGGTGGTAGCAAAGCCGTTTAATATCTTTAAGAGGGAGGTGGATAGATTCTTGAAGGGGTCAGAATGTTATGGGATGTAAGGAGGAATGTGGATTTGGGGTTACAATCAAATCAACCATGATCCTTTTGAGTGGCAGAGGAGCCAAATGGCCTACTCTTGCTCGTGGTTCGGATATAATATTGAAAATTGCAGGTCATAACAAATTGCTTGGCATAGCTAAGAACACAGAATCTCTGCTGGGACAGAGATTAGATAAAGGAAAGAGCTTTTGGAGGTCTGTTAGGGACGTAATATCACATTATCCTTCTTTAACAAGCTCATGATAGATTTTTCAGTTATGTATAAATGTTTAAAAGTAACCAGAATGTATCATTACTTATCTCGCATCACAGTAAGATGTCTCATTATGTTGTCAGAATGTCAGCCAAGATTCTCTTGGTAGCAATCTTATCTGAGCTGGAAAACGCTGGCTCAAATCGTACCCCAGTGCCATAATCCAGGGTGACACTCAGAGGCAGTAGTACATTGCTACAAGTGCTATCTTTCAAATGAATGGTCAGTCTGAGGGCCCCATCTGCTCTTTCATGGATGTAAAAGATCCCCTTGCACAAATTGAAAGAAGGTTGGGTGTGTCCTTCCCAGTGTCCTGGAAAATATTTATTCCTCAATCGACAGAAGATCAAAAGGAATTGATTATCTCGTCTCATTCCTGGTTGTGGGAGCTTGCTGTCTGAAAATTGGCTATCATCTTTCCTACGTAACAGTGACCACAGTTGAAGGGACTTGATTAACTGTAAAGCACTTTAGAATGTTCTGAGGTTGGGAAAGACTATTCCTGAAGTTGCTTTGTGAAAATCTGACTGACTTTTCACACATTTCCTGTATGATGGTGACATTTTTCGCTCTTTCCTTCAGTTACCCTTGGTCTGTCTTGTGTAAGATTCTCACTTTGGGGCAGAATTCTTTGGTTTGCTGCTGTGAGCTTATCTCCACCAAGAACTGAATAAAAATCTAGAGAACTGCAGATGCTGTAAATCGGGAACAAAAACAGAAGTTGCTGGAAAAGCTCAGCAGATCTGGCAGCATCTGTGAAGAGAAAATCAGAGTTAACGTTTTGGGTCCAGTGACCCTTCCTCAGAACATAGAACAGTACAGCACAGTACAGGTCCTTCAGCCCATGATGTTGTGCCGAGCTTTTACCCTAAACCTAAGGTCTACCTAACCTCCACCCCTATCTTATATTATCATCCATATGCCTATCTAATAGCCGCTTAAATGCCCCTAATGAGGCCGACTCCACTACCCTCTCCGGCAATGCATTCCACACCCTTACCACTCTCTGAGTAAAGAACCTATCTCTGATGCCTCCCCTATATCTACCTCCACTCACTTTAAAACTATGCCCCCTTGTAATAGCTACCTCACCCCTAGGAAAAAGTCTCTGGCTGTCCACTCTATCTATACCCCTGATCATTTTGTACACCTCTATCTAGTCACTTCTCATCCTTCATCATTCTAAAGAGCAAAGCCCTAGCTCTCCCAACCTTTCCTCGTAAGACCTTTCCTCCATTCCAGGCAACATCCTGGTAAATCTCCTCTGCACCTTTTTCAGCACTTCCACATCTTCTGAACTTCTAGAGCTTCTGAACATAATAAAAGGTGCTTCACGAGAGCATTATAAAACAAAATATACCACCAAACTAGATGAGGAGATATTAGATCTGAAAATATTGGTCAAAGTGTTAGCTTTCAAGGAATGTCTTAAAGTGGGAAACTCAGGAGAAAAGATCTGAGGAGCATATTTCAAATCTTATGCCTAGGTAGTGGTGGAGCAATTAAAATCCGAGGTTCTCAGGAGGCCAGAATTAGAGAAGTACCAATATTTGTACAGGTTATGGCGTTGGAGACGGTGGGGGTGGCACAGTGGCTTAGTGGATAGCACTGCTGCCTCACAGCGCCAGGGACACGGGTTTACTTCCACCCTCGGGTGACTGTCTGTGTGGAGTTTGCACATTCTCCCCGTGTCTGCGTGGATTTTCTCCGGGTGCTCCGGTTTCCTCCCACAGTCCAAAGATGTGCAGGTTAGGTGGATTGGCCATGCTAAATTGCCCGCAGTGTTCAGGGATGTGTAGATTAGGTGGGATATAGAGTGATGGGTCTGGATGGGATGCTCTGAGCATTGGTGTGGACTTGTTGGGCCTAAGGACCTGTTTCCACACTGTATGGATTCTGTAATCTATAATCACTTTGAGAGGGAACAGGCTAATGAACAAGTAACCAGGATGTAGAACATGTGACTAGCAGCCATTTCCCACCTAACTTACAACATGTAAGAGTGTAGCTTTGCTTTACTATCTGCTGAGTAATCCTGTAAAAGACCTTCAAATAAACAGAACCTATGTCCCTTTACCAGTCCTAGTGTGAGAGTGGTAAGTTTGTGTGAGTGAACACAGAGATGGGAGGCTATGGAAGGATTTTAAAACCACATTGAGAGTTTAGAAATCAAGGCAGTAGTTCAGTTGGAACAAATGCGAGCAGAAGGGTTAGGTCTTGAGAGACAGGGTTTTGGATAATCTCAAGTTTGGATAGAGGGCAGAACGTGGGAAATCAGCCAGGAATATATTAGGATAGCCAGTTCTTGAGGTAGCATTGGCATGAGTGAAGATCCTAGTAGCAGGTGAGCTGAGACAGGGTGAAGCTGGGAGATGTTACAGAGCTGGTAATAGGTGGTCTTGATGATGTGGTAAGTCAGAAGTTCAACTCTGGATCAAATGCGACACCAAATCTCCTCTAGGAGGAGGGATGGAATCGCCAGCTAGGAACAGAATTTAGGGTGGGGACCAAAAACAATGGGTCCAGTCTTCACAGTACTTAACTGAATACTTAAAGAATATGGATAAATGTGACTACTCTTATAAGATTCCCTCAATGCTCTTGCAAAGATTTTATTTTGGGAATTTATTTTCAATGCAACCATCTTCTCTCCTTCCCCTCCTCCCCAGTTACACAGCAGATGTGCAGAAAAAAATCAATTCCTTAGTTGAAGAGCAAATTGAATTAAGATTTTTTGTTTTGTGTTTTCCATTTAGCTGCAATCCATTATGACTTTGTTGCTGAGTCACCTATTCCAGAAGAAGTAAGATTCATCTGTACCAGCCATTAGAATGTCTCAACCCACGGGCAGTAAGGAACACTGGAAACCCTGGGAGTTCTCAGGAATCAGTCATCAGGAGCTGGCACTGGCAGAAGCTCTTCAGATGGAGTATGATGCCCTATCGAGGCTTCGGCAGAGTAGTACAACAAGAGACGACAGCAAGTCCAAACACATTAACAGCTTGCAACTGATTTCATTTGAGGACCCTTTATTGGAATACAGCCAATTGAGGAATGACTGCAATGCCATTAAAGCGACCCATGGCTTGTCGGGGTCAGACCCCGGTCTCGGTTATAGCAAAGGCCCTTCTTTGTCAAGTCGAGGCATCGCGTGTTCCTCTACTACCTCAGCTCCCGGACCACCAAATCACCAGTGCCAAGAGGACCCAGAATACCAATCATTGTGGAAAGATGTTACCACAGCCACAACTGCCACGACCATCATCACAAATTCCACCATCAGTGGCTCCACACAGCAACCAATCCGTACAGGGCTGTTCACCACTGAGGGGACATCTTGCCATCGAGGAGATTATTCCATCATTGACTATGCTCCACCAGTGCCACCACGAGTTCCTCTCGGCCCCAGTCGAAATGCCACGTTAACAGATCATTGGTCCAAGGAGCAGCCCAGCGACAGCATTGAGAAATTGACCATACCTAATGACATCAATATATTCTCTCCTGGCAATGATGACTCAAATTGTAAAATCGTAGAACCACCAAGCTTTTACTCCAACCAAAGGATCTCTGATGAAGAGTTTGAGTTGATTGACTATGATGACTTGAATGATGCCATAACAAAGCTGAATTTAATGTCTACCTATGGGGAAAATTCAAAGCTGATAAGAGTTGGCAGCATTGGGCCCAACTCCATTTGCAAAAGAAAAGACAAAAAGGAGGAATCCTCTGGGAAACCTGTCAGTCGAAGTAAGACTCTTCCACCTCAGGTGCCTCCACGGACCTACAGGTCAAAATATGGAAACCAGAACAATGCTGTCTATCAGGACAAGAATCGAAAGGTCTCCATTGATCCGGTGAGATCCAGGGAATTGTCCCAGTTGTTGTGATTAGGGAGAATGCTTAGCAACAGTTTTATAAGTGCTTCAATTGAAAGGGCAAAGGAAACTGATTCAACAGCAGCTGAAAAAGAAAATATTTTGCAGGGAATATTTGTAGGGCAGTCAGGGAAAATGCTGTAATAACTAGATAGCTCTGCCACAGAGCCAGCACCAACATGCTGGCCAGGATGTGATCCTCCTGTAAATTTGGTATGATCCTAACCAGACCAAATAGTATATTTTTTTTTCTTTCTTCCTTCCTATCCTTGGTTCTCAGAATCCTCAGTGATTGTGATGCAGGAAAATGTGCCCAACATGCCCAGTATATTCTTGTTGAGATAAACTTGCATCAAAGGTTTGTATCAAGAATGAAATGGGATTTAAAACCACAGTAATTTGAGCATCATAAGAAATAGGAGCAGGAGTAGGGCATTTGGTCCATCAAGCCTGCCTGCCATTCTACATGATCATGGCTAATCTACCCCAAGCCTCAAATCCTCTTTCATGCCCACTCAGCATAGCCTTCAACCCCTCGATATTTCAAAAATCTAACCACCTCTTTCAATATTTTTGGTGATTTCGCTTCGAAAACGGTCTGGATTAGACAGTTGCAAACATTCACTACCCTCTGAGAGAACAAATTCGTTTTGTTTCTCAGTTTTAAATAAGTGTCCGCTTATTCTGTAACTATGTCCCCTAGTTCAAGATTCCTCCAACCAGTGGAAACACATTCTCAACACCTACTGTGTAAAGTCCCCTCAGAATCTTGTATGTTTCAATAGGATCACCCCTCATTCTTCTCTACTGTAATGAATAAAGGCCAAACTTGTTTAACCATTCTTGATAAAGTCATCCCTTTCTTCCCAGGAATCAGCAGAGGGATTCTCTTTTGAATTGCCTCCAATGACAATATATCTTTTATTCAATATGGGAACACAGCCTCACCAATATAAAACTTCCCCATCTTTAAACTTCAACCCTTTTATTCATGGGATGTGGGCATTGCTAGCTGGGCCAGCATTTACTGCCCATCCCTAGTTGCAATCCATTCGGTGTAAATACATCAACAATGCTATTATTTAGACATTGTGGCAACTGAGTGGCTTGCTAGAATATTTCAGAGGACAATAAAGATTCAATAATAAAAGATATCTGGAATTAAGAGATTGATGCTGACCATGAATCCATTGTCAATTCTCAGAAAAACCCATCTTGTTCACCGATGTCCTATAGGGGAGGAAACTGCCATCCTTACCTGGTCTGACTTACATGTGACTCCAGACCCAGAGCAATGTGGTTGACTCTTAACTGCCCTCTGGGCAATTAGGGATGGGCAGTAAATGCTGACCTTGCCAGCGATGCCCTCCTCCTGTAAATGAAGAAAACAAAAAATCAACCACATAGTTCTGGAGTCACACCTCAGCTAGTTTCCTTCCTTGATCGAGTTTTCAATTCCAAATTTTTATTGAATACAAACTTCGCCATCTTTTCAAACCCGGGCTCCCAGAATGTTACTGGGGTCTCTGGATTGCTAATCCAGTGACAATCTCACGAGGCCATTTCCTCCCCCTTACAATGAAGGCCAAAAGTCCATTTGCAAATTTACAATTGGATCCTTTCATGCTGTTGCCACTATAAACATTGACGTGCACCTGCTCCGCCATCAGAAATGTATGGGGCAGGCGTTTGCAGAAATCCAACCTCGCAGCTGGTTTACTGTGATAACTGGGTGTGAGTGTGATTTTGAGACTCATTTTCAAAATGATCAGAAAATTAACTTGACATTCTGGCCAATAGCGAACAACTAAAATGTAACAGAAATGTATCATCTTCCCAATGCTTCTAATGTCTTCTGTTCTTTTTGTAAGGAGTTTTGCAAGGTATTTAAAGCTCCCTCCCTAGTTCTCTCTATTAATTATCCAGCAGTGTCATTCTACAAAAGGTTTCAGATATTTGTGAGGTACCTATGAGATGTGCGAAAATGTTAACATGAGGGGATTTTTCCTCCTTCATGTGCAGTTCAGTAGAGGCACGTGAAACTTTTACATGTCCTGTCTCTAGTTTTACACTCAGCAATTCAATTACATGTCTGTCCCCTCGAAGTTGGGTTGTCTGCAGAGAGAGTATTTTGGGTTTCTTTTTAACATGAACATTGATACATTTAATGGTCCAGTACAGGGCTGTTTGTCAAAAGCTTCAGAAAAGAAAAGCCTCCCTGGGATTAAATGATTGTTAAGTTATTTACTGAGTGAGTAGTTAGAATGTGGAACTTACTACCACAAGAAATAATTGTGACGAGTAATGTTAAGGCATTTTTGTTGAACAGAAGCTAAACTGTGGGAGAACGAAATAGAAGGATAAACTGGGGATTAAATGAAGTAGGGGTGGGGAGATGTTTAACACCAATGCAGAGATCAGTCTGAATGGCCTGTTCCTATGCTGCAAATTCTATCTTACTTCATTTAACAGAAGCCTGCGATGTGGAGTTAACACTGATAGGGGAGCAAGCTGTCATAACTGAGGCTGTGGGTACATCCAAAATGTCAAATGAGAAGGGTTTGCAGAATGATTCACTCATTTCTCATGGAGTGCTTGCAGGTGGTTGTGGGTGTGCGGTGGTACTATTTAATTTTTCTTTTAATATGCCGTTGTCAAAGCAATGCAGTGGCATTTTTTTTATTCAATCAAAGGTCTTTCTTCTCTTTTCCTCCTCCCCCTTCACCCTAAAGTAACATTCTCACTTCTCTACTGCTGCAGTTCATACTCCTAGTTGCTTTGCCTTCCTCCTAGTTCATACTGATTCTTCTTCTTTCACTTTCTTCCCCACCACCTTCACCAATTATTAATTAATACTAATATTCCTCTGTCCCAATTATCCTGCCACACCACCCCACTGATTCTCTTGGGTCCTGGGACCCGGGTATTCTGCATAGTGTGTGCAGAAAGCCATTGGGCAGCACAATTTACACTGCAGACTGGAAGTCAAAAGTAGGATCTTTTATGGGCTACACATTTCTGTTTCCTTACTTGCCAGTGTGTTTACATCTGAGCCACTGGGAGTGGCGGAGAGGGGGAGGGGGTGGGTAGGTAGTAAAAGAAAGAAAGAGAGAGAGAGAATGAGGGTTCATAGAATCATGGAATCAACATATCTTTTCTAAAGTAAACTTTTGAATGGTCCATGATTGCTGGCTATCCCTATTGCCAGACTTGCCATTTTGGAACAGAGCCAAGCTACAAGTCTCCATGCCCCTTCTGCTTGTTGCTATTGCCTCGGCAACCCATTTCATAAAGACAGAAGAGACGGCACTGTAGTAGCTCAAATGCTCCCTCTCTCATAGATATTATTTTCTTTGACGTGATGCTAATGTGTTATTGCATGTGATGCAGAAGTTATTCAATGCAACAGATGCTAACACGTCACTGTGCTAGTGGAAGGGACCAGGGATTATCTGACGTGAGGCTAGCCTCTAATTAGATTTGACCAAGCCAGGGTTTTGTTAGTACTTTAATATATCGTTGAACAAACCCAGGATGATTGTTCTCCTGTGCCTGCTCAGCTCTTTTGGAGTTGGGCCAAGCTACACAAGTTTCTTCCCATTCCGTCTGACCACATTGCCTTGGAAATGCTGTGTATGAAGGAACGGAAAATACTCTTAACCAACTGTAAATCAGTACAAAATGGGCATTGTTTTATGTGCAGCCAACATATATGATGCCACTGTAAATAGCTGTAGTGATAACCCATTGATTTAATGGAATTAGTGTATTAGTCAACATATTCTTGAACTAATCATAGAACGAGTAGGTCATTTACCCTGTTGTATTTGTGCCAGCTCTTGCAAGCACAATTGCAAAGTCCCATTCCCCTGCCCTTGCTGCATAGCCCTGTGGATTTTTTTTCTTTCAGGCGCTTATCCAGTTCCCTTTTGAATGAACCAATTGAATCTTCCTCCATCACCCTATTAGGCAGTGCTCGTCTACATGCGATATAGAAAATCTTGACGCCCTGGTTCATGAGCCTTTCGCTTATGGGGACATTTCTATTTATCTGTATCCCCCAAATCTCCTCTCAACCTTCTCTCAGCGAACCAATCCCAGCTTCTCTGATCTACCTAAGTAACCAAAGTCCCTTATCCCCTAACCCATTCTTGCAAATCTTTTCTGCACCCTCTCATTCTGCCTAAAATGTGGCACCCAGGATTGGACACACTACTGCAGTTGAAGTTGAAGTCAAAATGTTACATAATGGTTTATCAATGCCTCATAATGACATTAGTATATTTATAGATACAATGGTTGATATTTTTTGTTAACCAAAGGGGTTCAGAGACATGATGTAGAGGCAAGGAGTTGGGTCACACATTACGACGATGTTATCGTATGGTGGAACAGGCTTGATTGACTGAATGGCCTCTCCTATTCTTGTGTTCCTGGACTGACTTTCACAATCTCACAGCTCCTTATTGCAAGTTTAGACACTGTTGAAATGCAGGGATGACATGGTGGTATTGTCACTGCACTAGTAATCCAGAAATCTCGGAAACAGCCGAGAGAGATGGGTTTGAATCCCTCCACAGTGTAAAGTGGAATTTGAATTCACGAAAGGTCAAATGATGCCCATTAAACTATTGTTGATTGTCATGTTAAAAAAAACCCATCTGGCTGACTAATTCAAGATTATCTACAGTTTTTACCCAGTCTGGCCTACATGTGGCTCTGGAACTACAGTGATGTGTTTATCACTTAATTGCCCTCTGAAATGGCCTAGCAAGCCACTCAGTTCAAGATCAACTAAGGGTGTCCAATAAACGCTGGTCCAGCCAGTGATGCCCACCTCCTAGGAATGAATAAAAGGAAACATAGCAATTAATTTATCATTCAGAAAGTTCTCACCATGAGATAATAAGCAGAAAAATGGTTTCAGTAGTGTAGGTAGAGGTATAAGTATTCACCAGGACACTGCAAAGAACATAAAA